AATAGTGTTGACCATATTATGGTGAGTGCTGATAAACTAGATGTTTCTTGTCATTTATTCGAATTTCCCTCAAATTAGTGACAGAACGAAGACAACACTCAAACACTGGAATGTCAAATCAATATTGCATTACATTGTTGGGTAGTTTTGTTAGTTTTACATAACTGATTCACTTAATTCAAATGTCAACTGTTACAGCATGACTACGATATCTTCTAATCTTAATCAGTGCAAAGTTGGGTTAATCAGCCTTGTGTATGCTACACAAATTGCAAATTCTATCAGAAAATTACCGGGTTAAAGGATGGTAGTCGTCGCGCCACGCATGCGCGAGATATATGAGTCTCATATAAACAAAGATGGCGACTTTGACTGTTGCGCAAATCAACGAATACAAACTGAGACGTTTCCAAGCTTTAATTAGGTAATTTTTAGGTGATTGGAAGGTATCGAAGGAGTGACTGGCGGTATTCAGTGTAAGTCGAGCCCAGGTTAAACCTCATACTTTTGATTTTCATTTGAAGAGCGCATTGGATTGTGGGAAAATCAATGTTCATCAACACAAATATCGCACGTGCGCAATATTTCAGTATGTTCTTATCAAACGTTCGTTTGATTCCTGCAGAATTCCGTCTTTTTGAAAACCTGTCCGCCATCATTCACTACATTCTGCCATCTATAATTCCATAAAATCCCAAAAAGAAAATGACACATTACTGAAACTTTCAATAAGAACTATTCTAATTGTGGGTCATAAACAATAAATGGATACACAATATTGATAGCAAATAAATAGATCAATAATAATTAATGAAAAAGTTTCATATACGAAAACATATATATTAAATATTATCAAATACACAACATGAGAATAACATGAGAATTAAAATACTTTTTTTTTCTTTCTTTTTTGTGTGGATTAAATTGTGTGGATCATTTTACCTTTTCATTTTTACCTTTAATAAATTTCATTGTAGCTGGAATCCCAAATTATGCTGGTAGATGACACACATTTTTTGATTAATATTAATATTAAAATATTGGAAACATTGATTCATCACACCGTTCCATAAATCGCGCCCTCCAGAGAGAAGCACTTATATTACGAATGCCGAAAGCGTAGAAATGTAACTATAGTCATCAATAAATATATATTCCATTTGAAGAACGACTACACAATCAAACACAAAGGTGGTAGATCTGAACAACGTTGCCTTCACCAATATATATCATGTTGACGTCCTTTCCCTGGGCGTCGTATGAGCATTACCAACAAACAGAGAATTTGTGAGTATTGCACGGGAACAACACGAATACAATATTTCACTGTAATCATTAAGCTATTTTAGAAGATTGAATAAAAATGAGCTACTTTACTCATTTAATAAATTATGAAGACCTACCCGAGAATTTTATCACGAATTTAACTCATTTTATTGATCATATGTTTTAAATTGATTTAGTCTAGTTTTGCTTGTCTGTGTGTTTACTTTATTGGACTTTACTCAGTGTATTTGACAAATAAAAAAAATCCATTCATTCAAAAATCTATTCATGTAATGTCCACCAATCCCATCTTTGGTCAGTCCCACTAATGACATTTATTCATTGTTGAGTGAGAAAGAATAATATAGTCCCACACATACATATATATATATATATCGGCTACATCGTTTTTTACGTCTTTTAATATATATATATATATATATTAAAAGACGTAAAAAACGATGTAGCGATGCACAAAGCAACTCAGTGAAAAAGAACTTATTGATTTAACAAAGGCAATGCAGAAACAACCATATAACCAACAAATTAGGATCCGATATCATACAAAGAAGAAACTATTCAAAACGTATGTGGAACATCTGAAACGACAGAAATGGAACACTTTACAAGATAAAGTCAGTAATCTAAATGAGAAATCACAACAAGAACTACGGAATGTTATAAGAGAGTATTCACACCATAACAATAAAGTCTCAGATACTCGGTACACAGAATGGATTAAATACCTCCAATCAATTAGCAAAACCTCAAGTACATCAACCAGTAGAAAAAAGGAAATAAATACACAATTAAAAACCATTGAAGATGCTATGATTGGAAATAAATGGCTGAACAAACAAATTACAACACATGATATAAATGCTGTAGTTAGAAAACTGAAGACGAAGAAAACTAGCGGCATTGATGGAATACCCTCAGAGATGTGAGTTCAAATATGGAAGCCCACACTTAATGTACAAGCACTTACTATATAATCTTATGATCTCTAAAGAGCACTACCCAGAATTATTTCATAGTAACATAATCACTCCAATACAGAAAAAATACAATACATCAAACCTATCTAACTACTGTGACATTGCCACATTTTTGCGATGATTATAAACACCAGAATTGTTAAATATATAGATATATCTAGATACTAATAATGCTATACACAGAAACCGAACTGGTTTCAGAAAAAAATCAACGAACTACTGACCACATTTTGACTTTGAAAACTAGAAATAAAAATACCGAACAACAAAAAAGAAACTTCACACCTGCTTTGTGGATCTTAGAGATGGACTGTTATACAAACTACAGAAATACAATGTGGATCGTTATAGAATGTGATAAAAGACATGTACAGAAACATTTCATTTCAAGTTAAACTGGATGGAAGATTACCACCAACTTTTGAAATAGAAAATGACGTAAAACAAGGTTGTCCATTAATCCCAACATTTTTCAATATCTTTATCAATGACATATCAACAGAACTTGATAAAAACTCAATTGACATCCCTGAACTCACCAACCAGCCTATATCTAGCCTATTATATGCAGATGACATAGTGCTCACATCAACATCAGAATCAGGACTACAGGCCAGTATATTATTCTACAGCAATATACACAGACGTGGGGACCAACAGTGAACACAGAGAAAACCAAAGTTATGCTTTAAGCCTGAAAGCAAAAGAAGCATAGAAGATATATACAACAGACAATACAGAAATATAAAACTGAAGGCAAAATTGTTCAAGTCCTTAAATCTTCCAATGTTATACGGATCAGATTGGGAATAGACACAAACATTCAACATTGGGACCGTACTTGTATTGAAAAATGTTGTCATGATTTATTGAATGTCAATAACAAATGCAGCAACATTGGCAGCAGAATGGAAACTGGCAGATTACCGTTATTATAAATTATTTAGTACAGCGCAATCAACTACAATCAAAACCTGATTTATAACATTTGCATATGATGCTATATTGGACTAAAACAAAATCGTTACAAAAACTCTTGGCTACATTATCAAAATATAATCAAAAACAACTACAATATTGACATTGACAATATTAAAAAGCAAAAATTCCATGATATCAAAAGAACAATATACAAAACTCTGGAATGATACCAACAATAGAGAAATCTCTAAACTATGCACATACAGACTTTTACATGTAATACAATTAAATGTGTACCCTATTTAAACATTGTGAAAACAAATATCAACATGACAAAGAAAATACTTTATTATTTGCAAACGAGAAGAATTGCAATTTCTTTACGGCTATATTATGATTATTGTTATTATGTTTTTTAGTATGTCCTTTTGATCTGCTGTTTTACAGTTCTAATGCCGAGTCTTACCCAAAGACTTGAGGCTAAAAGGATGGATGACACAAAACGATAACCATACACCCAAAACATACCAAATCATTACCAACAACACGTAAACAAGTCTGAATTGATAACGCTTTTACCAGCAGATGTGCAGTGCTATTAAGAACAATTTTCTGTATCTCTTGCAGACTTGGGTTTCCAGAAATTGTATCAACATGTTTTAGGGTGTTTTTGTTGACTAGACCAGGTGCTCCATCTACCGCGGATACAATCATTGTTTTTAAGTGCCACATTCTTTCAACTTCAATCTGTAATTATTATTATTATTATTATTATTATTATTATTATTATTATTATTATTATTATTATTATTATTATTATTATTATTATGCACGATGCAATTTGACAGTATTTTGTGCGTGATTTAAGGTGCACTAATATTATCAAATCATATTATGTTTTACAAAACATGAATGCGAGGAATTAATATCATGTCAGTCACTGACTGCTGAGTATTGGCACCGTCACCGCCCATACGCTGACAGCTATGAAAATGAATAAATAGATATAGAAAAATGTACAGTCAACATTTCTAATAAGTGCCTCCCACTCGCTCTTTGTAACTTCCATCTAAAAAAAGAAGAAAACATAACATTTATAAAATGGAAATTCTTTGGGGTGAAATAAACAATAACGAATGTACTCTGACAAATTCCCGAAAAATGATCTTACTATTTCGAATGACTTTGACGGTAATATGGTTACCTGAGTTTGGTGGCATTTATATTTGTCTTGCGTTATTTCGTCCTTAATCCTGTTTTTACCCGACACATCTTGATTTCTTTCAATGTTATACTCTTCTATTTGCCCTCTTAGGGCGTCATTGTCATTTTCTACCACAATCTCATGGTTGCCGATGTTTGCCAGAACAACATGTTCATGGTGGTTATCGGTCGAGTCAGACCTGCCACGTGTTCCACTACAACATCTTCTTCCCAGACACAGTCTGCGGGAAACTTTTCCAACTGGTCGCCCGGAGGTACTTTTTCTTTGCATATTAATCACAATAGTACTAATGATGATCGTCGTCCCAATCACTGCCATATCAAACAATATCACCTGACTGATAAGCGGTATTTTATTAATATTTGTAGGAATTATATCAGCTATCAACAGTTCAAATACACTCATTGTTACCAAAAGTGAAACGCTTAAACTAATTCTCTCGCCACAATCCGGGGGTAGCCAGAATACACAAAGCGATAAGGCTGACAACAAGAACGTAGGTACGATAATATTCACTGTGTAATATAAAAAGACCCTTTCCAGGTGTATCTCAAAAACAGCAATTGATTGTTCATCTGGTGAAAAAACGGAAGTCTTTGCTGCGTTAACACGTGTAAACACTTCCAGGACTGTCCACTCGTAGTTTGGAAACAATACGAAATCATCCAATGACACGTTTTCTTTTACGTGTATTCGGAGTTCTGTATTGTAGTATATTCTTGATAAGAATCGTAGACTGCATTTTTGGGAATCAAACGGGAAATACGTCATGTCAAGATAACAATGACTTTCTAACACGGCATGGTTGTGTGACAGCACTGTTCCATTGGACTCTATGCGTACATATGTAGGCTTGGAGGGCAATTCACCCTCAATAAATCTGTTGAGAAAAGAAATAGTCAATGTCACAATCAATGTATCTACTAATCACGATCACAAACCCTTTCACTTTTTGGTGTTGTTTCTCAAAAATATTCATAAATTCTCATTCAAGCTGAAACGAAATACTTATATTGACCAACTTAGATGAAATAACTTAAATCTTAATAATTAATTATTCGTAAGTATAACTCACGTGTTCTCTAAATACAATTCTGGAAACCAAACTTTCTCGGATGGAACTAATAACCATTGTATATCGCTGTAATTAGATGCATTCCAACTCAGACGATAATCAATCCAGGTCTGAAATTAACAAGATGATATCCTAGTATTTTCTATTCAGGAAAAGGGTCCACCCGACTCCAAATACTGAGTTGGATTGACCGTCGACCTCGTTACGACAAATAAACTCTCTCTCACTCTTGTACACACTACATCGGCAATTTCGGTAGTTCGTGATTTTTGTGTTAAGGAAAACAATTTTGTATACTTTCCAGACATGTTTATACGCGATCGGTGGTTTTTCATGGTATGGATATTAAATCATAATATGCACTACTCGCTTGGCACTTTTTCAGGTAATATGCAATTTATCGATACTTTCAATTATCTATTTTTTTTAGCAATGATTTCCTCAAACGATATTTACTAGACACATGTAGTCATGCGTGCAAATCGGGAGTTTTTGACTTGATTTTCTTGTGGTGGAATTTGATATAAATAGTATGGGAAGGTCACTTCTGATCATATTTTGTTTTTTGTTAACTTTACTTTTGTGGGGATTTCTGAGTCAACTGTGTTGGGGGGGGGGTCTTCAAGAAAAAAATGTATGTGAATGTTGTGGTCAATGATTTCCTTAGTTTTCATCTTTATTTTGTTTTTGTGATTATTTTTTTAATTTTGTTTATTTGTTTTAGCCTTCTTTGAGGATTTTTAATGTTTTTCAAGATCACTAAATCAATGTATGATTTTTTTTGTTGCGTCAATGACGCGCGCGTGAATTAGCGCACCTAGTTGCGTCATATCAAATCTGCGTGCGTCAGTGTGCGTAATAACGGCCATGTGCTCAAACTCGCGAGACGAAGGTAGACACGTTTCTTCAATATTACAAGGTCATTTATTGTCAACAACCCGCATGTTTGCGACGTATGCTATGCCGTATTATAAGCGTACAGTTTATAAATATATCATCTGTTTTATGTATCGCGAGCCTGCAAGTCTTCTCCACTATGTTGTGAGACCTGGTAAATACGTAATTATAGATTGCGATCATTGACCGATGATCTGTTACCCCGCAACGCATAGAAATATAAAGAAGATTGCAATATTGAATTCCCTAAAGAAATAACGAAGAACATTTATATTTCTGATGAGAAATAATAACCAAAATATATTTCAATAAGTATGGAAGTATACTATTCACAGATCTTTTGAAATCTTTATAAACGGAGTATTTTTATTTAGATCTTATTTCTAAGGATACAATACAGATTATTATTATTATTATTATTATTATTATTATTATTATTATTATTATTATTATCCGACCATCGACGGTACGTTGGTGATTAGAGATGACGACCCGAAGATAGAGGAGACGAAAGATCAGTTAGTTATAAAGCTGAACTATATGCGAGGATCAACTAGTGTAGGTTCTTTGGTTCGATTCATCCAGTTTGTCTGCAGTGCAAATGCAGCTGCAAAGCGAGTTGAAATGCTACCATCCCGTGGCAACTCGCGTATCTACACGCAACACATGGCAGAGTACCCGGATTATAATGTTACTAGAGTATTAAAATCAATAATAAATGTCCGAAGCGCTCGAAGATTGTAAGCAATTGTTGTGGTCCCCGATTTCATTAGTACATTTTTATACTTATTTTGTTCATGTTGTTTTTTATGTTTTTCTTATTAGAGTGTAATCGACCTGTAATATTACTATAGTATTATAAGCAATAACAATGTCCGAAGCGCCCGAAGACGTAATGACCTATATTATTTCATATGTTATATAACTATGTGTAAACAACCTTGTGAAAATTATTAGTTTATTACTAACCATTGTAATAATATTCACATTTATTGTATTCGAATTATGCCTCAAACCTTTTTAGTGATCCAGTACTTGATTGTACGGGTTGATGACCAAACTCATTCTTAAATTCTTTTGTAATATGAATTTAAATTGTCTGAAAGCATTTTAAAAGTAATTTGAAATAATAATATTAATAAAAATATTAAGCAAAATATTCCTTATATACCTGTTTGAATTTAACATTCGTTATCATCAGTTTGTTTTTTTCATCCTGTAAATTGAAAATAAAATTAATTGTGGTTTTAAAGTAAATAGTGTATCTAGACGTGATGTGAGAATAGCGGATTGTGCACAATCACTTGTAACGCAAAG